GTGTGTGTGTGTGTGTGTGTGTGTGTGTGTGTGTGATCGAGTGAAAGCCTGTTGCAATAAATAAAAGTGCGTTTTGAATACTGATTTGTACACAGTATTTTGGTGGTTTGTTATTTAGTGTTAGAGTGTCCCTTTCAGGGAGTTGTCAATGTATGTTTATATAAACAAATTGTGGCCAAATTGAATGTTTGCTCTGTCTATATGGCTTTGTATAGGTTGTCTACCCTATGTGCACATTTTGTATCCATGTTTAACTATGCTTTTATTTTGGTTCTACACACGTATTCGGCAAGGTTTAAAAATATTTTCGCTGCTTATTAGATTATTATACAGATACACCTGAATCTGCTCTGAGGGCAAGTGTCCAAGATAATGAATGACAAGTACAAACGACAAACTCCCGCTTCATATCATTATGACACTGTGCAAGTGGTCCATCCGTGTAAGACAAACACCTTTCTCATCCACAACGAGTGGCCACCTCGGACTTTCTTTCAACATGTCGGCTTCAAGACGTGTGCCTAGCTCTGTCTTAGCGGGAAGAAACGTACTTGTAGGTTTACTCTGTCTTAGCGAGAGTAGTCGGTCCTGATACTTAACTCGTTGATGACGCGCACACTTGTCATTCGACAACGCATAAAGGTGTGCTGTTTTGGGGTTTAACTTTTGTCCTTCAAATAATTTTTTTTAAATGTTGTTTTCTTTACCTAAAACTTCAAAAGGCGTGCAGCAATATGCGAACTATATAAAATAAGCAAACTCATGTTTCTGATTTGTGTAATATGGTTCAAAATGTGCCAAAACGTTGCCGTTGCTGAGCTGCTGATCGGACGTATGTGTCCGCTTCGTCCTCAAAGAGCTAAAGGTGACAATCCATATGTGCGGGACGGCAACGGCAGCGACATGGCAGCGGGACGATAAAAATCATTCCAACATATTAAATATCAATGTCTGAATCCATAAGTGCGGTACGGCAGCGGTACGGCAGCGGCACGGCAGCGGGACGATAAAAATCGCACCCAGGAGCGATTCTGCCGCTGCCGCAGCTCTGGCGCAGACAAAAATATGAATGTGGCGGAATAGAGTTGACTCATGACTGTGAAGAATCT